ACATATATACATATATACACACACACACATATATACATATATATATATATATATATATATATATACATACACACATATATATATATACACATACACATATATATATATATATATACATATATACACACACATATATATACATATATACATACATAGTTTTTTTTATGTAATCTAAAGGACAACTGACTCATTTTTATTTTTGTTTTAATAAATGTTTTAACAAACCAAATCAGATTTTTTTCCAACTCAAATCTGGGTCACTTCCATATATGGACCTAGATCTAATTCATATCCAGTCTCTGACTATGGGTGTGTCCGAAATCACCTATCACACATGTATGTGAATTTTTCTGTTGAATACCTACTACTCTTAATGAAAATGCAGTAGGCACAGCAGCCACTGCACTGCCCAGTAAGCGCAACATCGGACATACTACTACGTGGTCATCTTGCCACCAACTGACCCGGATGTGACAATACAAGTCACTCATTCTTCAATCATTCATAATAATGAATCGTTTTTGTGTTGGAGAGCGTGCACAGATCCAGAAGCATGAAGTAGAAGGAGGATTATTTGCCCTGCGGACGAAGATAGACTATACCATGCATGTTACAGCTGCATTAGCTAACCCTGAAGATGCCCATCTTTTTGGAGTAAAAAGACAGTGCCCTATCTCTGACAGCTTGAGTTACTTTCATGCTACATCCGGTTATCCCCCTGATGCTTTGCATGATTTGCTTGAAGGGATCGTGCCTCTAGAAATAGCACTCTGTCTTGATGTGTTTGTAAAGAAAAAATACTTCTCTCTTCAGGAGCTAAACCATTCCATACATCAGTTTCCTTACCAGTGGAGTGACAAAACAAACAGCCCACAACCTATTCCCCCAAATTTTGCATCACGCAAGAGTGTAGGAGGCAATGCACACGAAAATTGGTGCCTGTTGAGAATGTTACCTTTTATGATTGGTGACAGAGTGCCCGAAGATGACAAAGCATGGGAGGTTCTCATGACCCTGAAAGATGTTGTTGAGCTTGTAATGGCCCCTGTCCACACAGATGAGACACTAGGTTACATGGAAAGCAAGATCAGTGAACACCGTCACAGGTATTTAGATGTGTTTCCAAGTAGTAAGTTGACACCAAAACACCACTTCCTTGAACATTACCCACAGCTTACAACCATGTTTGGACCACTTGTGGCTCTTTGGACAATGCGTTTTGAAGCCAAACACAGATTCTTTAAAAGGATAGTTAGACAGACTGGCTCTTTCAGAAACATTCTCATGACAATGGCAAGAAAACACCAATCAATGATTGCTTATCACATCCATGATGACAACAGTCAAAGGCCAGCATTTCTAGTGTCCAGAATGACTCAAGTGCCGGTTGAAATGCTAAAAGACAGCATTAAGGAGTCATTTGCAAAAAAGTTTCCTGGGGTAGTATCTGTGAGTTTGACAAGCAAAGTCACCATTTTAGGCAGAGACTATAATGTGGGAATGTTGTTGCCCTTTGGATCAACAGGAGGATTGCCTGACTTTGGAAAAATAATACAAATAATCATTGTCCATGAAAGCCCCATCTTTGTTATGAAGTTGCTAAGTGGGTGGTACCATGACCATCTAAGGAGCTTCAAAGTTGAGCCAACAGGAGAGATTGAAATCATACAGCATTCAGAAATGAAAGATGCATACCCCCTGGCTGCATACAATACAGCAGATGGCCAAGTGGTGTCCCTTAAGCACTTCATTTGGACATCCGATTAGGTACTCTTTATTTCAATTTTTTTTTTGTCATTCTATTAATGATCTGAAGTTATCAGGGACAATATATTGGAACCTTGTAAACTCTTGCCCTGCTCTGTGCTTCACTCCTCATTTCATCTTCCCTCTCCCTAATTAATATTGTCAAGGACAAAAGCTTGTTCTTTATGTACATTTTTTTTTCTTTAATACACACAACTTGTTAATGGAAAGATAATGTATCAACTTTTAACTTTTTCTGTTCTCTTCTTTCCTTACAGGTGATGACAGCATAACCCAAACAATAATGGCAATCCAGTTACGAGTCATCATCGAAGAAGATGATATAAGAAAGTTGGTGCTTCCATCAGGAATTCC